TTTTTTTCGGGATCTACTGGACAGTGATAAAAATCTACCAGTCGATCGCGATCGACGGGTTGGCGACCACTGCTCTAGTGGATGGTGCTAACATCACGTCTTTTTTCTTGTAATGTTACAACTTCATTCTTGAAATCTCAGTATGATGCCCTTTTAGAGCTACATGCCATTTCGTTTAATAACATACTCTTTTGGGTCCAAAAAGGTTGTGATAGAGGGTCCGAAATCTCTTCCTGGTGTAATTGCAGCGATAGGCTCCGCCCATGAGGTATTCAATTACCAATCCGATGTCAATCAGACTGATGCGGTAGTCAGGGGGCAGGTTACCCTGAAGACAAGAAGGTTACTCATGGCAACACTGTACCTGTGCCAACAGTTCTGGCTATGAAAATACAAACAAACGGTAAGGTCAGAAACGACCCACGCTCTCAACTACATACACACCCATACGTTCTCACTCCACAAACACACCAACATATTGCTAGAAGGAATCAAGATAATTGAAGATTTTCTGATTCACCTTGAGGTAGATCCAACTGAACCCTGGATATTCTTGCTTGGAAAGAACACACAAGGTCAGTGAGACATATATATTTATAAATACATACATATACCATTCAAAATTTGGTAAGATTTTAAAAATGTTTTTGAAAGTTGGGTATTATACTCATTTATTTGATCAAAAATACAGCAATATTATGAAATATTATCACAATTTAAAATAACTGTTTTCTATTTCAATCCATTTTTAAAAATGTTATTTATTCCTGTGATTGCAAAGTCGCATTACTGCAGTCTGCAGTCCCATATGATGAAAGAAATCATTCTAATATGCTATTTTGGTGTTAAAAAATATTCCTTATTATTATCAGTGTTGAAAACAGTAGTGCTGCGTAATATTTTTGTGGAAACTGTGATTTAATTTTTTATTTTTCATTTACTTTGATGAATAATAATTTTTTTTTTTTTAGTTTTGAATGGTAGTGTATATATGGGGAAACAGACAGTACAGTGAGATCCAAAAGTCTGAGACCACACTGAACCCTGGATATTCTTGCTTGGAAAGAACACACAAGGTCAGTGAGACAGAATCATATTAAAGGGACAGACATCCCACGGAGACCAAGCAAGTCTAGAATCAGGGTTTGGTGCCATATTGAACTGATCGTAAAAAAAAAAAGAGCCTCTCTACAAAAACAAAAACAACAGAGAGTTAAGAGCGTAGGAGAGAGAAAGGAGAAGAATGGAGTCCAATAATGGGCAGGACAAAGAAAGAGCGGGGGGAAGTGATAAGGAGCGATGCCTCAGTTGCTAATTTAATGATTTGACTCATCTTTACGTTTATGCCGATATTAGTGAGCTTTTCTAATTAGAGAATCCTTATCAGGGTGATGAAATTTTGATTGTAAGACTTAACAACATGAAGCGAACATGAAGACCTAAGATTCCTCCTTGCATTAGATCTATGAGCCAAATCCATTTGAGCAAAATTACATCCCACATCCTGCCTTCAGACTATGATAACTACTGTAGACTCTGCTCTGGTTCTGTAATTACCAACGCAGAGCGACCACAGATCTTCTAAGCTGGGCTAATTACTTCAACCTCAGCAAATGCCACAAAATGCTTCAACTGGCTGATCAGAATCACAGGTGAAGCTGCATTTCAATTGTGCAAGAAATGCTGTGCTAGAATCAGTTGATGTGACACCCAGTTTAACATGTTAATCTCTAGGGACACAGAGAAGGTTTGCGCCTTCAAAGTACAAAAAAAGTATTTTTTGGACAAAGAGAAGACTAGACCAAAAACCTCAGTGCAGGTGTACCTGCACTGAGTCTTTTACAAGTTGAAATTGCAGTTCATGCACAAATGTTACTACATAAAGACTGCGAAAATCACCAGAGTGCAAAAAGAAGGCAACCGTGTGCCCCATTATGCCTTGAAAATGCACTTAGGAATAGTAACTAAGAAAAACTAACTACACACGAGCACCCTAAGAAGCAACACACCCATTGTTCTGACTGTTTTATTGTCTGAAAATCACTGAAACGAGCAAGAGAGGACACAGACAGAAAAAAAGCAACTAATTGGCCAAATCTCTCTGTCCGGCTAAGCAGCAAGAAAGACACCTTTGCTAAATGTGCAACAGAAATCTAAGACTAATCTACCACTTACACTCACAGTCTGACATCCACTCACACACGCACACACACACACACACACACACACACACTGAGTTCTTACCTTTTTCACATCTCTGACAAGGTGGTATAAGGTGTTGGATGGACCATGCCTCTATTTAAGGCAAACAGAAACAAATATAACCTTTAAAAAGTTACATCTAACCACAAATAGTACTTGAAAAACAAATAAGAACATGTGTTGTTGTTACCTAAAAGGGACTGTTCAACCAAAAGGGTGTGTAAATTATACCACAAATTTCATTTCTGGGTGAACTGCCCCTTTAAGAAGCTAAATCTACCTGCTATCACCTTTAAAATTACTATCCATGTAATTAAATGTTAAACGCTATATTTTTGGTCTTAAACCACTTTATCACAGGTAAATTTTTTTCAGTGCATATGCATATTTTTTTCACTATAGGTCATTATATATATATATATATATATATATATATAGTCGCACCGGTAGTGACGTCATGGCTGTCGCCGGCCAACGAGTTGGTGTTTTTTCAATGTATGCTTCAGACATGGGTCACGACGAGGCGTTCCCCATAGCGACCCCTAGAGGACGCAGTTCGAAGTTCCCATGAAAGGGAACCTAAGATTTAAAATCTCATTCAAATCTGACATAGCTACATTACCGTATTATAGAGCTCTTCAAGTCTGGACAGCGTCAGGAAGCGGTGTATGCTCACTCCATTCTCAATCAACAGCTTCACAAAGTCCACTCTGTCCAGCACCAGTGCGTCCAGCATAGACTGCTCTAGAGAGCCCACCTAACCACACATAAACAAAGCTTACAGGTCCAGAACCCACACCACCGGCACACACTAGAACAGACATACAGGTGCACAGCAATGAATCAATTTCATGAATTTTAATCTGGTTGAAATGCAGCCCACCATCATTAGCATCTACTGTGTATAATTAGAGTCAGAGTTACACAGAAGTGCTTCTAGTCCCCTCTGTAATCAACATCTCTGTATCTATATCTAAATGAATTACAGAGTTGGAGTGAGTGGATATTGCCTACAGGCCACTGCTGTCCATAAATGAAGATCTGGCTTCGAGCGATGTCAACTCTGTTCCAGGCCAAAGCCAGGCTCAGTTGATCTGGAGCTGATGCATTGGCCCCTGGACAGACAAGCAAAAGGGCACATAATTAAGGTTAGTTCATTTGCTTTAACAAAACCATATTAAAAAGCCCTGGGGAATATGTTAACCCTCTTAGCGCCAAAGTCGCAAAATTGCGACAAGACGTCATACTTAATAAAATAGACTGTTGTTCCTAATATGGTGTAATATCTCATTTTTATTCCCTACCACTAGATGGCAGACATGTAGTACTTCGATTCTAGACCAAAATTACGTCACGTTCCTATTCAAAGTGTTCGAGGAAATAGCAGAGTAAGTGAGCTATCATGTACACCCCACATAAACTTTCGGTCATGCCCAACATTTTTCTAATTTACAGTAGATGTCTATCTTTAAGCCCTTTCAAGCCACAAGCTTTTTAAATCTTGATGTCAAAATCCAGCATTTTTTCCCAAAAATCCCTGGCGCCTAAAGGGTTAACGAGAGCATATACAATGATGGATGCGGTGTGTAACTAAATGCCTATTAAACATTACTAATCTTACAGTCTGATGTCTTCAAAATCATTTGCATGCTTGAACCCCCTTAACTCCCATTGATTCACAAGCGCCTCTCACAGCAGAGAATCCTAAGGAATCCCCAGCTCTCGCATCATTGCAATGCATAGCGTTATGCCTGTTTAAAAAGCTGATTCTAAAGATAAATCACAGAGGAAAGCACTCTCCAGGGTCTCTGGCTCTTTGCTCCGCTCCTGCTTCAAGCTAATAAACCTTCCCCCTGAGCAGCAGGACATTTGTCTTTACTTACTCTGGCCTGGTGCTTCTACATTTACTTTTATGAGGGTAATCTTTCCAGACACAGTCTATTAAATAGACACCTCCGTGGCTTGTCTAGGTGTCGCCATGTATTAAACCATATTTGCATAATCTCAGTTAAGTGCTCGGAAATATCCTGCCCGACTCTGTTAAACCTAAAATACGGACATGGAGGTCTGTAATACTCGGAAATGGCCATGTGGAGCACCTTGTGCTTTTGAAGTTCAGGATGTATTTAGTAACTATATTGATGCCAGATGAAACAAGTCCTCAGCAACAAGAAGGCACTGTATCAGCAAAGATTGGTCACATAATTATGTATAATTAAGTCTCTGAGGATGAGCTTTAATTGCTGTTTTCTGTTGCTTTGAACTCTAGCAGAGGTTAGCTTTATGTTCTCGCTTTAATTTCACACTACATCGTAATAAATCCTTACACTTTCAGTATTTGTCAGATATTCACAACTGTGTTCAATGAAAAAATGCAAAAGCCCTTTTCGCATGGATAAGACTGAGCTACTGATAAAAGCGTGATATAATATTCCATGTTTCCAGTCATTAGCATATCATATACTCTCTAAATCAGCAATCAAATGATTCACTTAGTTTGCTATAAAGACATTTAAGATAGCAACAAGCATGCATTTTAAAGTACATGCAAGCATTAGTGATATAAATATGGCCTAAATTAATCAAAAATACTATACAAATATCTGTTTTTTGACTATATATCAACTGATATACATCCCTTATACATTCATTAAGGAAAAAGAAGAGAGCTAGGAACTGCACGAGTAAATAATTCTTTAGATGCGCTGCACAGTACTATGAATTATGCAAAAGCCATGCTGCTGGCTTTCAGAGCAGCTCATGGAGCTCTTGAAGAAAAGGCTTCACTGGAATCCCATCTTTTGTATTGGATTTAAAAGTGGGTCTTTAGAAGCACAGCCAGTAGAGCTTGCACTTTACTCACTCCTTTCAGTGTTAAATGTGATGTTAACCTGACAATTGCAGGCACTAAAAAGTTGGTGGGCAGTAAAATGGAAGTTAGTGTGTGATCAGAAATATCTTTGGATGCAATCTATTTATGAAAGATATAATGTTATAAGTAAGATGGGGAATAGTACTTATAGTTTTATGAATGTTTTGACTGACAGAACCTGAAGGACACTTCTGTGAATCACTTGGAAACTCACATAAAGATGTTTAAGATAGCCCTCATGATTATTTTACAACCAGGGGTCTTCAAACATTTATAGGCCACTGATCACTTTTGGTTTATATTAAAATTGGGTTATGTTAAAATAATCATAATTAAAATGATAAAAACACAAAAAAAACAAAGATGTACAACATTAAACTGACATCATCTTTTTAACTCTTTCCCTGCCAGCATTTTTGAAAAAAGTTGCCAGCCACTGCCAGCGATTTTGATGATTTTCACTAAAATTTCACTAAAATCTCCAGAATATTTTGCTGTATGAATATTTGAATATGCAATACACAAAAATAAAGATCAGAGCCAGTTTTATTCTAGCTTAAAGCATTATTTTTTATCAACACTTGAATGTAGGTAGGTTTCATAAAAATGCATACTTTTGAGCAAAAAGGTGAGAAAATCATATTTTTTTATCAACAACTACATCTGGGTAATATTCAGTACGATTATAAAAGCATAAATCCAGTAAATCACTTCTATCAACACCGCCAAAGCGTGCACAGACATACCACTTCCTGGATCAACATTTTACTCCGTAACATTATGCAGTTTTCATTTATATGCTGCCATTGCTGATGATCGCATTATTTTTCATATGCATCTGTTTACATAAGAGATCGCTCGTTTCTCCGTCCTGTGCGCATGTGTTTTTGTTCGGGAGGTTTTGTACTCGTTCAGAAGATGTGTAATAGCGCCCCCTAGCGTATAACAGTGAAAACACGAAAAGCCGTAAAAACCCGTCTTTGGCGAGGAAGCGTTGTCTTCTAAAAGACGAGATAACTCGTCAATGCGGGTAAAGAGTTAATATGGTTTTACAAAAGAAGTACCAGAGGTACATATCAATTTGTAAGAGTTATGTACTTCAATGAATACGGGGGAGACAACCGAACATTTATTTAAACTTCATAAATTTTAGCTTTGGTCGAAAATGATACTGTATTTTTTTATTTTTTCCCCCCCACAAAAATCTCCCCACTGCAGACCCCTGTTGAAGACCGTGAATTAAACCAACAAGTTTATAGATACATATGATATGAGCATCCACAAATGTACAAATATTACCTTTCAGAAGTGCTGTTAGAATGGCCAGATCAATGTCCTGGTGTCCCTCTGATCCCATCCGAAACACTGTTATCTGAGGAAGAGAGATATTGCATTATTGCTGGCATCACATGTTCGTCACAACTGTTTGAGTATGATAGCATGATAAAAGCAAATAAAAAAAGTCTTGGCAATAGCAAAGAGAAATGACAAGAATAGAGCTAGATGGATTTACAGAAATACACTGCAAGCACCGCCATAACCCGGAATTGCAGTTCTGTATCACTGCAATGTCACACATGAAGGGCACCTTACAGCACCATATGCATCGCGTGTGTTCAGAATTCCAGAACATATAGCGTACAGGCCATTAATCTAATGCCTGTCATTTGAACAAGCCACCTTTCTTTCAGTAGCCATTTTCCATCTGTGTCTGGTATGGACTAATGAACTTATGCGTGGAAGTGGGAGGATTGGTTCAGCCTAATGTCAATGGTGTTTTCATTTTCATCCCCTCAAGCCACCATGAAATGATGGCACATTTAGGGTGTGTGTGAGCTTGAGGAGGGGTGGCAGTGGAATAAAAAATTGGAGCACTTCAGCGAGCTTAAATAACGGAACATATAATCCTTCAAAATGTCTTATAGTTCAGAACTGATGCATAAAAAGAATCATGCTATGCTTAGGTCTTGTGTGGTGAGGTTCTGTGTGCACTATGAAATCTTTTTGCTGCTGAAATTGATGAGTAAATGGAATGTAATCGTATCGAACAAGCACTTCATCTCCTCTACAAAGAGTATGGTGACGGCCAATTACTGAAGTGACAGTTATTGATGACCCTGCTGTGACTATGGAGGTGACCCAGCTCTGTGTGTGTGTGTGTGTGTGTGATTGAGGCATGAGTGATATTGACCTTTACAATATGTCCCTGTACAGTATATGTCAATTGAACCCTTACAGTTTTCCTATAGAGAACAAATGCTATGATATTATTAATGTATTCATTTTCTTAATAATAAATGAAAAACATTTTCTTTTTACATGTGTGTGTGTGTGTAAACTCCAAACAATCAACCTTAGTTCATCCAATAAATACAATTAAAAAGTTTCATGTTTCCAAACAATGAAACTCAATGGGGTCCAAAACAACACTGTACCCCATTGGGGAAAAAAAATAAAGCCAAAAAGTGAGGTTTGAACAGACATGAGGTTGAATAAAATTGTTCCAAACTATGAAAGTCATTGGGGTCAAACACAACACTGTACCCCATTGAAAAAAAAAAAAATTGAAAACAAAGGAAAAAAAAACAAAAACTGTAAGGTTGAATAAATCATGACAGAATTCACTTTTTTGGATGAACAATGCTTTTAAATTCAACACACATCACTCAAACACAGCAGGAGAGAGAATCAGACACTGTTAGTTCTTTCTAAAATTTCATATCCATATCGAATACACAGCTGACCTATGGGACATGTCTGTGATTTATGAGCATGTAGTAGCTGAATAGGACAGGTCAATAATGGATATTTAAATAATCTCTGTGTGCCTCAGAGGACGTTTTAACAACTAAAGCACCCATTTGCTGCTGAAAATTTTAACCAGGTTATTCCTCTACTAATATTAAGCTATATTTGAAAGATGGGTAATATTCTGCAGACATTACAGAGATCTTGAAATCCACCTTGGCCAGGCTGTCATGTTTCAAATCAACCTCCATCATCTGAGTGCCAAAATGACTTCGGTGACTTTCGCCCCACTGCATTTACTCCAGTCATTGTGTGATTCTAGTGTTTTGAGAGACTGGGCAATGTGGGTGTCACAAACATTAAGACCACCTTTCCACAACGGACCTCTAAGCACACACCTGCAAGCACAACTGCTCCATGGATGATGGCATTGCATATGTCATCCTTATTGCACTTTGTTACCTAGACAACAAAATCTCATATGTCAAACGGCTGATGTTTACTTCATCTTGGCATTGATCACAGTCTTTCCCCAGACCCTAACAAACTTGCTGCAGTTAGACTAAGCAAATAACTCTGTCTTCCTAGACAGTCGTTCGTAATACCACGAGTGTATCACCAAATATCAGAGCAATCATTAAGTCTGCATTCAACGCCTCTATTAGCATCACTAATGGTTAGACAGCCTAGGGAAGAGGTGAGACCGCTTGCAACCTGGTGCTGGAACAACAACCTCTCTATTAATGCTATAGTAAAAAAAGAGATGATTGTTTACTTCAGATGGTCCAGAGCAGTTCATTACTCGCAGCGCATCAACAATGTGGCGGTGGAGATAACAGCAGCCTTAGGTTAATGGGTGTTTGCCATCACCAACAAATTGTCATTGGCCCTGAACGCCTCTTCTTTGTTGAAAACAACACAATGGTACCTCAACATCCTAAAGGGGCATTCACAATGACATTGATTAAATCGCTGGAGGTCACAGCGTCTTTCAACTGACTGTTGGTTGCTAATAGCATTTCTTCTTAGTGGCAACTGTAAGAGGCGGCGGATGGCGTCTTTATTTCCATTGGTAATCGCTGTGTTGCATCGCTGCTATTTTGCATACAGTCCAATGCTCGCAGTTGATCATGTCACGCTGTCGGAAAGCTCTGCCAAACACAGTGTAAATTTCAGGAAAATGTGGCCGTAACATCTCGGTTACGTATGGTAACCCTCGTTCCCTGAAGGAGGGAATGGAGACGTCACGTCGGATGACCGACGAATTGGGATCTCGCTTAGAGAGACCAATCTACTTCGAGTGTAAACTAAACAAGCCAATGCACATTGGCATGCGATTATTGCATCCAGCTGCCGCTGATCACAGCGTGAGTATAAGTAGGCAGCAGATGCAGCGCATATTCAGGTTTTCGCTGAGGAGCCGAGCCGGTGACCCGGCCGCTCAGCGGTGGTACAGGAGCTGTGGCGACGGGACGTGACGTCTCCGTTCCCTCCTTCAGGGAACGAGGGTTACCATACGTAACCGAGACGTTCCCTTTCAGTCGGTCACTCTCTACGTCACGTCGGATGACTGACGAATTGGGATCCT